GCAGGTCTCATTTGAAGGAACCCTCATTATCTGAGATGACCTAATATGTGTTTTGATTGAATAGTTCTGTGCTATCCAGTAGAGAACAATAGCCCTGGAATAGCAAGAATGCATCCATTTATGTTTTGACAGTTTTCTGTTGATTTTTTTTTCCAATCCTCAGAGCTTAAAATTGAAGGAAACAATTTAAATTGCCATGGAATAAAAGTGTACAGCTTTTGAATATTTGTAACCTTCATTTACTTAAAAATAAATATTAAATATTTTCAAGCAGTGTTATACCTGAGAATTGCCTTGTATAAAAAGAATAAAATTAAGATCCACAAGGTCAAGAATGACCCAAAGCTGTATTATTTAAATATAACTATCTTCAGTATATCTTATATGTCTTAAATATGATTGCTCCTATGCCATGGCCAAATCTTACTTCAGTGTAGGAAAATAAAAATAATAACAATCCAGCAGTATTCCAACACTGTTATTATTAGTGGCAGTCCTGATGCTAATAGTCATACTAACATTGCTGGTTTAGTAGGAAACCAATCCAGTCCATAGGAATAGTTTTGCAGCTCGGAAATCCAGTCTTGTCCTCAGAAACAGTCAACATCTTCAGGGTCAGCTGAATTGTGCCCAGGGTGGATTTAATGCTGGCTCTGTCTGACACAGCTTTGAGCAGCAGTAGTTTTTGTTCCTGTTCATGGGGTCAGGTGCCCAAGCTGCCTGGCTCAGATGCTTCTCCCAATGCTAAGTGTTGGGATGAGGTGGCTGCTTGTCTCACTTCTTCATCAATCTTTGCTCTGTCAGAATTGTAGCAGGCCTTTTTGCCCTGTTAGTCTAGACACCAGAAGCCTGAATATCTTCTTACACTCTGCCAGCATAAAATGACCTCAAAATGTTCTTAAATTAGTGAGCCATATATTTACTCCCAGTTTAAGGCTCTTTGTAAGGCACACTGCCAGAGTTGTGCCAAATGTAAATCAGAGCCAATATAAATCAGGGTCCCTTTAATGTACTATGCAGAGTGGAAATTAGAAAGTTTAGAATCAAGTAACTGTCTTTTTTTATGTTACAAAACTCTCATACCAATTTATATTCTGATCACTAATGCATGGCATCATTTGCCCCTGTTATTAAGGGAATATATTACCTCCTCAACATAATTTTTCCTTGTTCATAGGTTTAAACAATTTCAAATTTTCTGAATCATGTTAATTTCACAGAAAAAAAAATATTTTAATAAAATTACAAAATTACATTAAAAGAGGAAAATAATTGGGATGTCAGAAAGGAATTTCTTAATTTCCAGCCACTGTTTGTTACTATCTATCTGACTGTGTTACTCATTCACAATAAACACAGCCTGAGTTTTAAGCTCATGTTTTATGGTATGACTTGAAGGCAGACCACAGTTTGCTCTTTAGTCTTTTGTTATTAACAGCCTTGTTAATCTAGCTGGATAATTGAACAAAGAAGCTTAGATCTATATGACAATGGGAGAGAAGCTTTTTTACCATGGTTTGTTAGACACACATCAAAACTTAACACTATCCCGTGACACCAGGTTGTTGTAAGTGGATCTAAATACAGATTTTTTTCTATCTATCTAGTCACTCTAACTGGATTCCTAGAGCTAATTGCCAGGCTTTAACTCCTCTGCAGGATTCTGCATTCCATGCCTCCTAAGCCTTGCAGCTAGTTCCCTACATATTTACCCTCCTTCCTTCCCAGTGATTAACAGCAGTTTCTTCATGAGACCTGTGGGCTTTTCTTGGCTTGGCATTGTAAGAGGGTAAACAAAGTATCAAGAAAAAAAATGTTCTTAAACATGGGATTTTCTAACAATTGACATTCTTCTTTTGAAAAGTCATTTGACCACGAGGTTGTGTTTAAAAATGCAACAAAATAAAGCATTTTTAGAAATAATTCCTTATGTCTGATTTTATCTTTGCTTTCAGTCTGATAGGTCACTGTTGAAACTGGGAAGAGTTTTCTTATTCTGTCTCTTTCTGGTTTTCACATGGGGTCAATGTATTCTCCTGTAACAAAGAACAGTGTCTCTTCCATGGTACAGTGTTGGTTCCTGTTGTCTGGCTTTTGTCCCTTATTAAAATATCTAGCATCTCTTTTTAATTGTACGCCTTTTATCTCTCAGAATGATTCATCAGATGTTCTGATGCTTGATTCCAGTAAGACAAATTCCCCTAGGCAGTACTCCGTAATTATTGTTTCAGGATTTGTTCAGTTCAAATATGAATGCTGATTACCTTCCACCATAAGTCAACTACTAGGTGCAAAATTTTTCTCAGATATATTTAAAGAGAAAGTTGGGGAAAGGTTCA